AAGGTCAAATCAAGAGATCATATGATGAGGTCAAATTTTGGTGCTGGATTCTAAACTTCTATCATGTAAATAAGGTACATAATAACCTGTAGGATAATCTTTATTTATTATTTGTATACACTATTAAATAGGTTGGTATTTTGCTGAGAAATGACTGCTGTCTCCATGAATGAGTTTATACCTCGGTACATAATTATATGCACATATTTGTCATGCTTAGGTTACTATAGAAAACAAAAGGCGTCTTTGCCATCCATTCCTGGAAGTAAAATCAAAACTTCATATACAAGTTCACTTTTCACTGTCCTAATGTAAAAACGACTGGGAATGGTCTCAAATACTAGTTTTGATTGTTCCAGTTTCTTTCATGAAAGCATAATAGTAAAACTATTGCATACTTTGGTTACCATGGACAGCCTAAGATTCGCTGTTAATACGTTCAGTCAATGTGAAAGCTGGGCTCGGAACAGCAAACAGTCGGCAATGGGCGTGGCAGATAAATGCAAATTCATGGCGATACAATGGTGGTCATCTTAGTATCTATCAAATCAGTCCTTCCTTCCATTCACGTACCGGATCTTGTTTTTTTTTTATTACAGTTGATTTACAGGCAACCTTGATTTTAATTTTTGTTTAAAACATCTGTATACGTAATTCATTTTTAACTTTGGTTGTTTTTTTCGTGTATGAAGTTTAAACATAAATCTAACTTGCCGGTAACTCAGGTTAAAGTTTGAATTACTGAATGTGGATGTTAAACAAAAAAATCTGTTTTGCCTATTAATTGAACATCAAGCTATAATTTTTGTAATTCTTAACTCGAACAATTCACCATTTCGAGGATACTGTCATCAAATGTTTTTGGGTCCAACTATAATACAAAAGAACTTTTATATCTACTATACGTCAGATGTGACCACTTTTTCCTATTTTATTTTTATCAATATATATATATATATATATATTGATTTCCATAGCAACACCTTGTCTAGAGATAAAATAATTGCCCCCTTGTGTATCTGTACATAATGCCTTGGTAGGGCGCCCTCTACGAATACCATCAGTGTATATGTACTGTAAATGATTTAATTATTCACTGGTTTTTAATTTCGCTATTTTCGCTGATAAGTAAAATCCGCTGAATCAAAATAGTGAAATTAAATGCCAGTGAAAGTAAATAGATTTACACTACGCTTGCACGACTTATTATATCTAACCATGGAACAGGGCTGTTAATTCAGTGATATAACCGAGCGAATCAATGTTATCGTGAACACAGAAATCGATGAAGATCAGAATGACTGTAACTTGAATACAATCCCTGTCCAGAAAGCCGAGATTTTAGAGTTTTAAACTGTTTGGAAAGTGCGTTTCTGATGGACGTGTTTCCTGTTGTAAAATTAGTTAACTGGAGAGAGTCCCTCTCCTTGCCGTTAATTTCTGAGTTCACTAACTCTCTGGCTAGGTTCTCATGGAACACGATGCCTTCACGAACTACCTGTCTGCGCGCCCAGTCTTCAGTTTTAATTGCAACGAAAGATCGCTTAGAGTCGACGAATTGACGCAGACTGCCCAGTGAAAAGTCGCGCTTATCCTTTGAGATGTAGTTTCTACCAAGTCGTTGAACGTTCTTATTTAAAACCGTCTTGACTGGCAGTTCATGTCTGAAATAACCACGGAAAATAGTTGCCCCGGTTTCAAATTCAGTGCATGTTTTTGTCTCCTGAAAGATAGTATGACGGTATACGTGTTAAATTAGTCGATTTTTCATTGGCCGTGAACTGGCAATTATTAAGAGGAGCTGATTGGTCATCGAACTTAACCCACGGCGCCCGGTATCCCTTACTTGATGGCATTGGCAAACCAATCGATGAAGCCGCCGAATCGTGATTTATAGTTCTAGCTGTAACTTTGGGTCTATTTAGCATATCCATATGGTTTCTACAGCGACTGGCGTTACATTGTTTACCAACTTCGGAGATTGCGTCTTCATTCCATGTCATCGTGGCGGATTCATTATACTGGGTTTGTCGTTCAGCATCCACCTTGGAGTCTATCGTAGTTCCTTCTTCATATCGATCCATATACGCACTGTTTCGTAGATAGTTATTGAACTGAACCGACGACACAGACTGGTTCTTGCAGGGAGGTGAACTAGTATGATTATATGACTCCATTCTCCAACAGGTAAATAGATGTGACACTCGAACCTGAAGTAGGCTTACACCGGAATGAAGATAGAACTATAATGAAAATGGAATTATATGTTCCAACTTGGATCATTTGTTGGCGTCACCCAGAACAGTCAATATCGGTGTGCGTGAACTTTGAAAATACTTTAACGAGCTGTGTATGAAGCAAAATGGCGGTTTACATGTCATTTCCAGAAAATAAAAAATAAAAGAGAACACCATAAAATATTTACAACCAAAGAATAATAAGATGATGGGTATGCAAGTGACGTGATATGCAAATGAGATCTCACGAGAATAAAACATTTGCACATTCGGGAATTCGAACGCCGTCGCCCAGACATGCATACAGTCCTAGAGAAAATACTAATGCATTATAGTCTGTGTAATCTTGACCATAACGGGACAATGTTCGTTGGGCTGTTTCTGCAAGTGTCTTAGCTTTTTATACGTAATGCACGCATTTACGCGTGTTTTGCGTGTTTGGATGCGATGATAACCTCGCTCATTTCTTTTTATGCAATCGAATCATTCGAAGCGTCTGCTCCGTTAGATTTTACAGATTGAGGCAGGGGGGATTGGCACGAGAGGGCGCCATCCGATCTGAATGGAACGTTTCGACGTCAGTCGTCCGTAGCCCATCGTCAAAGTAACAACGTACCATTTACAAACAGATGAAATAATTTCAGCAATTTCTTTACAGAATAATCCTCAACAAAACTTAGAAACATTTCACAGACAAATACAGGCTCCAAAATTATGTCTATTGCAAAACAATTCAACCGACAACCAGTTTGACGCCACAATTTCTTGCTGGAGCCTGAGTTCTACGCGTGATTTTATTGCGTTCAAAAGGGTTCTATTTCAAACTGCGCATGCACACACACTGTGGTTTCTCGAAATGCATACTAATTAGGTAACTTGTCACTGATAAAAGTCACCGAAAACATTTTGAGCAATTTTGAGCAATAGTACTAGAGTGAAATTTAAACGTGCCTCTGCATTCTCCATGAATATCGCAACTTGCTATGATCATGGTAAAGAGAAAACCTGGGCTTACTATCAACATTTAGCTGGAGTCCGATCGGGGAAGATCTGCTCCGAGGGCAGAACGCACAAACTGGTGACGTCATATGTGTCTGCTACGTCGTTCATTATGGTATATTTCAGCAAAGGGGTCCTACGTACTTCTATGCGCGGCAAATTTGTTTAATTGTCTGCCTGCTGCCGTGTTGTCTGCCCGTCTGCTTGCGCATATCTCGGCAATTATTGTTTTTAGTTACTTTTTTAACATCACCCCTAGCACAAATGAATTGGTAACTTTGTGCACTTTAAAAGCAAACTGTGTCACTGTCTTCCTTTCAAATCGATGTTACTGGTGACAGTCCCTCAACACCGGGACTGTGTACTGGTGAAGCTCTCGCTGCTGTTACAAACATACGCGGTTGTCATTTTTTTTTTTTGTTAGGTTATTTCGTCTGTTGCGGCACAACCGGGAAACAGTGAATTTGCCAATATGAGTACATGTCAATTTGTTGGCCTGCTTTATTTCACAAATCAACTGACAAGTTCGCCCCAGCCAGACGGTCGTACAGTGTATATTTACATTCTCGGTTGCTTAGCAATGGCCAGCTGACCATGTCAACAAAAAATACTTATGCGATACAGACGCATTGCGTGGATACTGATTCCTTGTATTGACGTTTGACGCTTCGTACCCTCTAATTATATTGTAGTTATCTGCCCCGAGGGCAGAATATTCTACTCTGTTCTTATATTATAGTTATATTGATGAGGGTGGTGGATTGACGAACATTTCACTGACTGAGGGCAGTATTGCATTAGCTAACTAAATACGTAACAGATGTAACATTCCGTGTTAAAATAATTTCCAGGTGTGATCCTG